ATTATTGTTATTAAAATTGTTCTCTTAGCCATGGGCTGTCACCAAGATGTGCAATAAGATCATGCTAGAGAGACCAAGATAGCAAAATTACTATGCAGCTTTCAATTCTGTTTTACACATTCTGTGGAATGACAGAATTGTGGAAACCTTCCTGGCCTCCTCAGGCAGGTCACTCCACAAAGTGGGAGCTACAACAGAGGATGCTCCAGGACCTTCTGAAGGCTGGGCTCATATGGTCGAGCAGGGCAGGAGAGGTTGTCCTGCAGATATATTGGGGGGGGGGGGTTTCCTAGTGCCACGAAGGGCTTTGCACGTGATAACCAGCACCTTAAATTGAACTTGGAAACTAACTGGTGACTCCAAATGCAGAACTTGTCTAAGGCTAACTGGTAACCAGCGGAAAGACTGTAGAATGGGTACAATATGCTCCTGAAAGTAACTGACCTAGGGTTGCCATCTCCCCGATGGGGATGGGGGGTTCCCTTGACTTTGGGGGCCCCACCCTCAAAGAGTCCCACCACGCCCAACGTGCCCGGCACCTGGAGGTGATGTCATCACACTAGGCACGTTGTGTGAGGGACACTCTAACATTTGGTTAAAAACTCTATGGTGAGTTTTTGGCCAAATGCTAGAGTGTCCCTTGTGCAACGTGCCCAGCATGATGACGTCACTTCTGGGTGATGTTATTGCATAAGATCCCAGGCGGCAGCAGGCAGCCCCCCCAATGGCAGCAGGTAGGCACCTGGCAACCCTAAACTGAGCTGGGGCTGAAATGAAAGATTTATCTCCACTTACCATGAAGCTTCCTTCTCGGTGGTCCAAAGTGGGGCAGTCTCCATACTCCTTGGAATAGCTCCTCCTCTCCAAAGGCAGGGCCAGCAGACTCTTTAGTCATGGAGGGGAGGGGCTTGACCCCTGGAACCCAGTTGTTCTCCAAGCCTCCACTCCCCTTCACTGAAAAGGCAACTAACAACATACCGCTCCCAATGGGGAGCTAACCATCCAATAAACTTTAAATAACTCATCCTCCAATGGAACCGGCTAGAGTCAACCAACCCCTATCTTCTGTCTGTACACGGATGGAGAAACAACACCCCTGTTGACAAAGGAAGTCGTCCCCCTTCACAAAGGGTGGGCAGAACTGCCCCACTCTGGACCACTGAGAAGGAAACTTCACGGTAAGTGGAGATAAATCTTCCATTCTCTGGTGGTCCAGGAGTGGGGCAGTCCTTCAGACTCCTTACTCCTGGGACGTGAAAAAGCAGTATCCTCCAGGGTGGGTCCAACCGCTTCCCCATCTACAAGATGTGATGTAAGACCCTATGGCTGAAGGTAGCTTCCACTGAGGCCATCTTATCTATCCTATAGTGCCTTGTAAAGAGTGCACTGATCTCCAGGTAGCCGCCTTGCAGACCACCTCCAGTGATGGGAAAACCCTAAAGGCTGCCAAGGTGGCCACCCCTCTAAGGGAATGGGCCATTACCCCCTGGGGAGGATCCAAACCTTTAGCCCTATATGCCATCCATCTACTTAGGGAGGAAGAAGAAACCTTCCTACCTACGGACGATTTCCTGAAAGAGACGAATAGTAGTCCTCACGTGCCTCGTCCTATCCAGGTAGAAACTTAGTGCCCTCCTCACATCTAGCCAATGCCATTCCTTTTCCTTCTCGCCTTCAGGATTTGGGCAGAAAGACAGAAGGACAATATCCATGGACCTATGAAAGGCCGAATTAACCTTAGGGACAAAGGCTGGATCAGTATGGAGGACCACCCTGTCATTATGGAAGACACATAGTTCCTTGTTCATCAAGATGGCCCCCAATTCCAATACCCTCCGTGCTGAAGTGAAGCTCACCAGAAAGACTGTCTTGAAGGTCAGCTGCTTTAAGGCACAGGTTGCCATAGGCTCAAAGGGAGCCTTGAGGACTATGTTGAGGTTCCAAGTTGGAAACCTATGTGCCTGTGGAGGATTCAATAGGGACGTACCCCTTAGGAACCTTTTAACATGAGGGTGTCTAGCTAGTTCCCCTGATGGTGGAGATGGCTGCCACCTACCTCCTCAGGGTGCTTGTGCTAAGTCCTTTCTCCAGCCCCTCTTGAAGGAAGGACAGGACTTCAACCACGGGTGCCCTAAGAGGGTCCTCTCCCCTCCCTATGCACCAAGAATGGAACATCTGCCATGTGTTATTATAGACACTGTTGGTAGAATCCCTCCTGGCCCCTCCTGAGTACCTTCATCATGATCTCCAGTGACTTGACCGTTATATCGTATGAGACTTGACTAATATGTCATCTAACTAGGGGTACAGTGATACCCCCTTGGTAGGCAACCAGGGCCACTAGGACCTTGGTGAAGTCCCTCGGTGAGGACTTCAGGCCAAAGGGAAGTGCCCGATACTGGTAATGGTTTCCATGGTAGACTAATTGAATGTTTCCATCTTGAACTTTCTGGTAACTTCCCGTTTGTTTAGTCATTTGAGGTCCAAAATCGCTCTTACATCCCCATTTTTCTTTGGTATGGTGAAGAAGACCAAGTAGACCCCTTGAGATCTCTCTAGGGATGGGACTGGTTCTATTGACCCTATCTCGATCAGATGGGCAACAGCCACTTCCAACTGCCTGTGTTTCACTCTGGATCTGTTTTTTGGTAGCTCTAGAAAACCGTTTGAAGGTAGGGACAAAAATTCTAGAGAATATCCTCTTGTGACAGTGTCCAGAACCCATCTGTCTGTGACCGTATTCTGCCATACTTGTGCAAACTGCTGAAGATGGCCCCTAATGTCTGTGTCCTCTTCCCAGCATAGTCTGTGTCCTCTTCCCAGCATAGTCATGCCTGGGGTCCTTTCTTTGTGCTTTTGCCATTGTGGGATTGCTTCGTGGAGAAAGAGGATGATTTGCCGTCTTTGGACGTGGGTTGCCACTTGCCTCTGTAAGATCTACTATTGCCAGTTTTGGTCTGTCTTCTAGAATCCCGAAAGAACTGAAGATCTCGTCTTTCTTTCCCTCTTCTTTGAGGGAAGAACCTTCTTCTTATCCTTATCTTCAATAAGGTACCTTTCCAGACCTTCTCCAAACAGGTTGGTACCTTTGAATGGAACCGCTGCGACTTTAGCACGTGCTGAAGGATCCACATCCCACCTTCTCAGCCAGGTGTTACGTCTTGCTGTGACACGGCAAGCCATGCTCCTGGCCGATTGTTGCACTGCATCCAGTTTGGCATCCACAGCAAAGACCGCGGCAAGGGCAATCTTCCTTAGCTCATCCTTTAGCTCTTTAGGATTGCCACTATCTGCCTTTGCCAGATCAGAAGACCATGCATTTGCTGCTCTGGCAAATAAGAACCCCGTAACAGAAGCTCGTAGAGCATTAGCCAACGCTTCAAAATCTCTCCTCAGGGCTTGTTCTATGCATTTGTCACTGTTCTCCTTTGGAAGCCCATCTGCCCCCATAGGAAGAACTGAGGTGGATGCCAAGCTATTAATTGGGTCATCTACTATGGACAGTTTTAGCTTTTTTGAAGCTTCTTTGATCAGAGAATAAAACTTCCCACATGCCAGGTGAGTGGCTTTAGGTTTAGCTGGGTGCTCCCACTCTGCCTTCATGACATTATAGAAGGCTGCTGGCAGTGGTGCCCCCACTGTTTTAGAATTGGATTTGAGCATGGTTTTGTCTGATCCTATAGGAAAGCCGGAATGATCTTCCTCCTTTTCTTTTGGGGTGTAAGCTAGTTTGAGTGTCATAATGACTTTTGGAAGGAGTCTATTGTAGAGTTCCTGGGTGAAGAGCCTGGATTGAGCCACAGGAACCTCCTCCTCCTCCTCCTCTGACAACTCACCCTCTTCCTTGAGTCAATCAGAGGCTGCAGATGCTTCTGACTACTGTGCTCCAATGGAGGCTGCAGATGCTTCTGACTACTGTGCTCCAATGGAGGCTGCAGATGCTTCTGACTACTGTGCTCCAATGGAGCACTGCCTGCAATGTCCTGCTTGGAAGGCAGGGCCGGAGAGACTGGGTTGCAGGAGTCAAGCCCTCTGTGACTAAAGAGTCTGCCAGCCATGCCTTCGGAGAGGAGGAACTATTCCCAGGAGTAAGGAGTCTGAAGGACTGCCCCACTCCTGGACCACCGGAGAATATCTTCAAGGGTAGATGGATATACAGTGTGTTACAATGGTCTCGCTCATGGTTACTATAGCATGAACCCACATTGCCAGACCAGCCAGGTCAAGGTAGTGAGTTGTCACTGGACTGAAGGAAGGTGGAAGAAATCATTTTTCATAGCTGAATTAGCTTGCTCCTCCACAATAATACTGGATTCATTATAACCCCAAGGCTCTTAACCACCTTGGTGAGGGTCAACCCCATTGAATGGGGAATGCACAATAGTCTCCAAGACCTTATTTCCCAACCAATACACCCTCCATCTTCTCAGGATTCAATTTAAACTTGGTCTCAGCCATTTTGCTACAGCAGCCAGGCCTGGCTCAGGAGCATCTCCAAATGGTCAGGACAAAAGAAATACAGAGCTGGGTGTGATACGCATATTGATGACACCCAACTCCAAAGCCATGGATTAGCTCTTCCAAGGGTTTTAAATAAAGATTAAAAAGCACAGGAGACAAAACTGAGCCTTGTCCAAACCCACAGGACAAATCCTATACTGCTGAGTACACAATCTTATTCCGGCCAGTCATCACTTAAATATTGATCTGCGGAAGTGTTGGAAGGGCTGGCACTTGTTTAAAAAAGTAATTCCATTACTTAAATTCAACAGAAATAGAAATCTAAGCAAACCCTCTGTATTGTGCCATCCTCACCCATAGCCTTGGTATGGCAGAGCTGCATAGCTCACAGCAATGGAGAAATACCAAAAATTGCAAAAAAGGCTCATCAGTGCTACAAAACCTAGCTATTGCATGGCAAATATGAAGTTTAGGGAACCCTGGCCATACTAAGAAAGGATATGTGGATTTTAGGAAGGGAATGGGAATCCAGTACTCACCTGGGGTGATCTGGTACTTCAAACAACATGCACACGCTGAAAGAGGAACCACATATTAAGAGCTTATCATGCGCTAAGAAAAAGAAAGAGGTTGGACGAGACAGTCTTCCATGATTAGTGCTAGTTCTGGCCACTTTGCTGCCTAAGACAGAACATAAAATACATCCCCTGCCATTGACACCTGTTCTCTGCTTGATATTCTTGTGGTCATGGCCAAAGGCACCCTTACTGTCATGTGTGTAAGCTATTTGCTTCACATACTGATTTTTTAGATATGTGACAAAGACTTCCAGGTATTTGCTACATATTTCTATGTTATAGTTTCCCCTTCCCTCCAAGGAATGCAGGACGGCTTCCATGGTCCTCCCTCCTCCATTTTACTGTCACCCACAATCCTGTGAAGTGGATCGGGCTGAGCTGGAGTGAGAGTGACTAGCTAGCCCTAGGCCACACAGTGAGCACCATGCCAGAACGAGGATGTGAACACAGTCCAGCACTCTATTATACTGCACTGAGATAGCATTCATTCTTATTCTTTCCCCGCAAGCACCCCACCCACCGTGTTGTTACTTTATTTCTCAATAGGAATAAGGCCCGTCGCGGAAATAAATACAATGAGCTCTAGAAAGAGGCTCTGGGAGAGTACCAAGGCCTTGGTCACTCAGCGTCAATGTGCTGTGGTGACCTCAGCAGGGTATAATGACACCGAGTCCACCATTTTCTCCAGAGGAACTGATCTCTGCTACCTGAAGAGCAGTTGTAATTTTTAGTGATCTCCAGCCCTCACCTGGAGATTGGCAACAATTGTTACCCAGGAAGAAATGGCTGGTTGGGAGGGTGGAGTCTATGGCATCGTACCTGTCTGAGGTCCCACCTCTCCTCAAACCTCACCCTCTCCAGGCTCCACCCCTCAAATCTCCATAGATTTAACAACCTGGTGTTGGCAACCCTATCTCCTTCCCAGCCAAGCATCAACCTGCCATTATCTGCCCCTCTGATTTCAGCTTTGCCTCTCCTCCCCCCTCCCTCCTGAAGATCAGTTGTAATTCTGAGGATTTTTTTTTCCACACTGAAGTTTGCGCATGAGCATGATAGTTTGTACGCATCCTGTGGAGACTTACAACCCCCCCCCCCAAATCCGGTGTGCGACGGGACATGGACGGGTGCCGGATGCCACGGGATTCAAGCGGAAATGCGATCAGACGCCTGCCCTTGCCCCGCATTTTCCAGAAACTAGTACATTGTATGTGGTAGTTTTTTACTCCACATCTTCGGCAAGAAGCCACGGGTGTACTACGCTTCCTAGATGTTGCGGTGTGATCGCGCACCGAAAATCCGCCTATCATCCGTGTCTTTAGCGTGGCAACTTTGACGTGTGAACGGGACCAGAGTCCACCATTTTCTCCAGGGGAACTGATCTCTGCCATCTGAAGAGCAGTTGTAATTCTGAGTGATCTCCAGCCCTCACCTGGAGATTGGCAACAATGGTTTCCCAGGAGGAAAAGTAGTCTTTCTCTGCAATGGGGACCAAAGCAGCTTACATCCCCTTTTGACTTGCACAACAACCCTGTGAGGTAGGTTAGGCTGAAAGTCTGTGACTGGTTCAAAATCACCCACTCAGCTTCTACAGCAAGAATATGGATCTAGCAGACCCTGCTCTGAAGCACTAACTGCTACGCCAAAAGCAGCCAACCTTCTGGTGGAGTCTGAAGATCACCAGGTATCACAACTGAACTCCAGACAACAGATCTCTCCCCCCCAAAAAGAAAATAACTGCTTTGGAAGGTGGGCCATATGGCATTCTGTTCAGCTGAGGCCTCTCCCCTCCCCAAACCCTGGCTTCCATAGACTCTACCAGAAAATTTCCAGGAATCTCCCTACCTGGAGCTGGCAACCCTAGTCAGGACTGGCCCCAATGAGTTCCTCACAAAGGCCTTCCTTTGTCTGAACCAAGCTTGGTTGCCTACCATGGCGAAACGGGCTCCAGTTTACAATTCAGCTGTTTGCCTCCCACCCTCGTCCCGTGGGCGTATCTCACTCCTTAAATTCACTGCCACCACTCACGGAATCATCACTGTCTTTTTAGAATGACAGTGAGACCCCTCTGGCCAAAACTCCCTATT